CGGAATAATTTACACTAATTGATTATATTTTTTTAACTATTTGTGAATATATAAAAATATTTGTTTACATGTGTTTCGAAAGCTTAGCATGTTGCGAAAGATAATTTTTCTTGTACATTAAAAACTACTTTCAAAATGATAAAGATTTTTGAACCCTTATGTGAAAAAAATAGTGATCTTTTACAAGTGTGTAAAATGTATGGAAAGAATGAGCATGATCATATTAGGGGTGGGAGTTCACCTGTAGGAAGGAGTAATGGAAGTTTATGTGGCATGTATCTCCTTAGTGTCTAGTGAGACATGGTGTTGAAGATTTTTTCCTTAGTATACATACAGGATATGGCATTGGAGAGTTTTGCTCCCTAGCATTAGTAATGCAGTGTTAGAGTAACAACACCCCAATTTGTGTGTGATAGGGGGAGACTATAGTTCGGAAGTGGGATAGGATACCTTTGGTTAGGTGATCCTGCCACTAAAGGCGAGCTTAAACTATTGTGAATATGCACTTAGTTCAGGAGCCTATAGTTTCAGTCGAGGTGATATGGAAGCTTGGATGGTAAAATGATTATGCTGGTGGTAAATGACTTATGTTTATGAAAATGATTGATTGAATATGCTAAAGTGAAAATATACATTTATTATAGAAAAAGGTTATGTTGTAATATGCTAAAAGCATGTTTTAGAGCTTAATAGCTTTACTCCCATATAGTTGTGCATGTTAATTAATAGTAGTGAATTATTCTATTACTGAGATGTTTATCTTATCTCGTTGTTATATTTTACACGTGAGGGCTTTAGTAGGGGTAAGAGAAAGGAAGGGCCGATTGAAGAATGAAGAGCATTGTTGTATAGCTTTTATCTTTCCTCTTTTTGGGGTTTGTAATGAATATGCTATAATATAATGCCAACTTAGGAGCATTTCATGATTTTGTTATCACTTATATAAGAATATTTGAAATGTGTGCGTATCTCGGCTTAAGCTCGTATTGTTTGGATTTAAATGTGAGTGTCAGGCCCATATACAATTATTAGTGATATAATTGTGATGATTATGTGTGAAAATAATCAAAAAAAATATTTATGTTGAGTTTTATCCACTCTTTTGTATTATTGTGAATTAGGGGTTTGGTGATCATTTTGAGTATGTTTAGTTATTTGTGTGATATGAATGACCATGTATGTTATGTGTGGTCCATTTGAGGTGGTCAAAGTGATTCTAGAGCTAATGGCATTTGATAGTGCTTTGGACACCTTGGAATGTGTTTTGAGTTGAAAACAAATCATTTTGGGTTCGGGTGTCCATCTTTTTAATGGATAATTATTTGAGAGTGAGACCGATGCCATTAGCTAGAGAGCTTGAAAAGCTTCGTGTGAACACTTAAACCGCTTAAATTAGATATCGAATGGTGAAATGACGCTCTTTAAAAGTTTAAAGTGTTGTTATGACAGTAAGTATGCGACATGGTGCATGGTTGTTGCGCCACAATGCAATACTCGTTGAGGGATTTATCCTTCTATGCCATCCAACATGGTGGGTGTAGCCTACATAGTGGTGGATTGGCAGTTTCTAAAAATTTTTTAAATTATATTATCTTATTTTCATACGCTTATGGTTTTCATGCTTTCGTTACTTGGTTTAACTCATTTTTAACTATAGTTTGAACTCAAATAATATTTTAAAAAGGTTTTCTTGATATCATATTGTTTTAAACTAATTACCTTTTAAACTTTTGGGTTGTGATAACTTTTACTTAAGATTTTATTTAATTTTAGTTATCATAAGGGCATGTAAGTGTGTTGTCATGGTAATGTCAAGATGGACATTACAATTTAAAAACCTAAAAACTTATCAACAAAATGTATGTCTCAATTAATAGGGGTAATCTTGCCGTGATGAATATGATGCCTAACAAATCTTATATTGCTTTTTGATACGATAAGACCATTGCAATTGATCAATGGATTGGGAGTAGATTACAACATGGATAAAGGGGTAAAAATACTCATAAAGTAGTTAGCCAGGGGCACCTAATATTTTAAAGTATGAAAAATGGCACAAATACCCATAACGTTACATGAGTAAGTGCAAAAGTGACCAAACTATTAATTTTGACCTAATGTTATTAACTTTGATCGTTAAATGCTGATTGTACATGCAATGTATTAGTCTTTGCTAATGTGGATTAATAAAGAGGCATAAATACTCACGAAGTCATCGACTAAGAGCAAAAATACCCATAACATTACTAAAGTTGGTGCAAACATAACTGATCCATCAAATCCCTTAAATGTTGACCGTTTAGTTGACACCTAAATAGAAGTTGACTATTTTTTCATTGATATAGACAAAAATATTTCTAGATAAATTTTTTTACGAATGTTGATCAATCACCATATAAGCACCCAAAATGTTACTCTAGTAGGTGTAACAGTAATCAATCCATCAAAATCCATGTCACATGATTTTCTTTCCATTGCCACATAGCTTATTCTTTTTCTTCCTCCCTCTCCACTCATATTTTGTATCTACAAAACTTGAGATTTAATATAGTAGGATAGGTTGTACATAATTGAAGATTGAGATTGAGTGCCACCCTATCTTAAGAACATTGTTACAACCTTAAACAATTTTATTCATGATAGGTTTAAAATTTTTAAATGGTTTTTGCTATTGGTGTAAAGAAAGAGGTGATTTAATTTAATATTTGGTCAAAATGACATTTTCTCACATGATATTCACACAATGACCAATTAATCTCCAAAGAATTTCATTTGAAAATATTTTTTGTTCATTTTAGCAAAACAAATGGCTAACTTTCGCTTAGGTGTTATCTAAGTGATCAATATTTAAGTGATTTGATAGACTTTTGCACTAACTCTAGTAATATTATGAATATTTTTGTTCCTTGCCAACGACTTCGTGGGTATTTTTGCCTCTTTATTAGTTTATGTCAGCAAAATCTGACATATGGCATGCATTGTTAGCATTTAATGATTAAAGTTAATAGCATTAGGTCAAAGTTAATGGTTTGGTCACTTTTGCATCCACTCATATAACATCATGAGTATTTTTACCATTTTTCCTCACTTTAGGATATTGAATACCCCTGGTTAACTACTTTGTAATTATTTTTGCCTCTTTACCTTTAAAACATTAATAATATAAACAATGATGAAATTGGCATAAAGGTTAAAAATTTCATTCATAATTCTCTAAAATTTAAAAGAGCATTTTTAATCTAAAAGACATAACATTCCATTTATATTAGTCAAAAGGATGGTGAATATGTTTGAAGACAAAGTTGGCTGGTTGTGGCTAAAGAGAAATTACGAATTAAGACCCTATATTAAAATTTGATTTAAATAAGGATTTGAAATATTTCAAATTTCTTTCAAAAACTTAATTGGTAAATTTTTTAAAATTATAAAAACGTACAAAACTTCTCTGAAATTTGAGGTAATTGTACATAATTTCTATCATTTTAAAAGTTTAAAAATAATTAACCTCCTTAACATTTAATTTTTTTTAACACAGACTTTCCTATTGTTATTTCTTAATTATTTTACTAATAGATATTATTCATGTTTTATTTAGAAATGACATGTATAGCAACTTATGTGACCTCTGATATAAGCTAATAAATTTTTATAAAGCTATTATTACTTTACATCAGATATCACATACTTTTTTTGTTTAAAAATATAAAATATTTTTAATCGAATCTCACCCTTTCAATAAAGTAGTTATCTACTTTCAAATTAACTTTATCTTTTCATATTTACTCCTATTAAACACCCTATAATAAATATAAAATTATTATTAATAGGGATACTTTAAAAAAAAGATAATAATTACATTTTAAAAAATTAAAAATGCTTTACATTTTTTAATGGAGAAAGTAAGCAACTACATGTATGTTCTTAAAATGACATAGAAACTCCTGTTAATAAAAAAAATAAAAAATAATAGTAGGATAGTCTACAGTAAAAATAATAAAAATTAAATAAGTTAATTTTAAATTTTTAAAGGTAAGGGTTTTTATAAAACAGTCTCAAAATTAAGAGAAATTTTATATATTTTAGCCATTTTAAAAATGTGATGATTAAAATGCCTCTTGAATTTGATTGCTAAAATTGGGAGTGACACTTAAAAAAAAAAAAAAAATTCGACTGCACCGTTATTGAATCAAATTCAAAGTTCTTGAATTGGACCCATCACCGTTTGGATTCTCTCTCCAGTTGAAATTCAAATATTTGTTTATAGTTACTTTATTTTTCAAACAAAATATCAATATTAATAATGAAAAAATTAATTATTTGGTCCTTATAACTTTAACTTAATTGTAACTTAGTCCCTCAATTTTGAGTCATTATAATTCGATCCCTGAAATTTTGATTCGGTTATAAATCAATCCCTGAATTTTACTTCTTGCAATTTAGTCATTGAAATTTTAACCTTTTAAATATTAGTCCCTATATTTTAAAAATAAAATTATAAAAATTAAAAATATTTTTAACTTTTAATATTCATAATATTTATAAAGATTAAAGAGGTTTAACAATTTAAAAATTGGTAATAAATTTTAAAATATTTTTAATCTTTATAATTTTAATTTTTAAAATATAAGGATTAATATTTAAGAAATTAAAATTTCATGGATTAAGTTATAAGAGGTAAAGTTTAATGACTAATTTATAATTGAATTAAAATTTTAGAAAATGTATTATAACGAGTTAAAATTGATAAATTGAGTATAGTTCGATTAAAATTATAAGAATTAAATGATTAATTTTTTTATTAATAATTAATAATTAGTAATAAATATAAATTAAATTCTTGTCATTGTCGCTCTTCAATGCTCCCGCTCCCGCATTCCCTTCCCTCAAACGGCTATTTTTTATTTTTATTTTTTTGCTTTGGCCAGACAAACGGCCACCTTTTCCCCCTATATAACTTCTCATCTAAACTGTAGCAGTTTGTAGATTTACAAATTTTTGCAAAGAAAACCCATTTTCTGGGAAAGTATTCATCGGGAGTGCTCATTTTTGGCAGCGAGGAAAGAAAATCCAAACCCAAAGTAGCTACCGATCTCTTGCTCAGGTCAGTGCTCACATCTTACTGCATTGATAGTTTTGTTTGCCCAGGAAATAGATAAATTAGGGAAAGCACGATTCAAATTTAAGACCATGAAATTAAAAGCTCGCTATAGATTTATCCAAAGGTCGTTGAAAATTCTCTTTTCTTTTCACGTTATGGTTGGCTATTGATCTCATCTCTGATCCGACTATCCGCATGTTGTTTCTCGTTCTGTTTCTTGAGTTGTGTATTTAGTTCCAGTTTTGTTCAGCCCAGTTTCATCCTTCATAGCTGTAACTTCAGTTCGTTTGTAATAAAGTTACACTTAACAGTAGAAAACTCTTATTTTGAAATTGAATATACTTCAGCTTCAATCTTCTTAAAACACCAAAGGTTAAACGATACTGTGTATGTCAGTATTTGTGTGCTAATAGAAATGGTTTGAAGTGATTATATATATATATATAATATAGTCTCTCTGATCAAAAGGATGTGCTGAACTTTAAATTCTTCATCCTTTTCACTTAACCTTCCAAGTTAAGTGCTTTCGCTCCATCATTTCATTTTGTTGGTTTCCTCATCCATTTCATATCGTGCATCAAATTCAAAAATGTTAGCTTTGTTGCAATTGACTCGATTGTATTCTCTTACTATTGAAAAAATTGTGCTCGGGTACAGATTTTTGTAAAGAGAAATCTGATTGAAGATTAGGTCTTTCAATTTTGTGAGGAGGACAAAGAATAATCTTTTTCTAAATATGCTTCTCCATGCTGCTCATATGGCTTTGGTTTTGTCTTTTGTTCGTGGTTTCACAGAACAAACCAAATGATCCTCAAGTTTTTTTGTTTCAGAAATCTATTTTCATTTTGGACTGTTTGATATACAACACTAGCGTCTCCCATCATCTTCACCTAGATATTTTTTATAACTGTTCTATTCGTGATTTGATTGTCTTTTTTGCATTTGTTGATCAAACTTTGTTTTTTAGCTTATAACTATTTACAGAACATCCTCATATTATACTTAGAGTAAATAAAGGTAGAGATTGATACTTCCACGTGGTTGTGATTAAATGATCATTTTTGCATATGTTGATCAAACTTAGTTTTCTAACTTACATCCATGTGCTTAAAGTAAATAAAGTCAGATGATACTTCCATGTGTTAGAGCATAATTTGATAATTATAATTTCCATTACATGGATAGCTTAGGAACTTGAATAGTTTTGTATCTTGTTGCTGTTCTTGTATAAGCCTTTTGTGTCTTGTTTGACAGCGTTTTTATATTCAATCTATTCACTGGGAACAATAAATTGAAGCTTTGGATTGTTGGAAAAGAAACAGTTGCTGCATTCCTTGATATGTTGAGGCATGTTGATGCTCTTAAACGTGGGGTTTTAAGAGTTCAACTGAGCCTTGTCTTGATGGTTTTCTTAATCAGATTACTGCATTATCAAACAGGAATTCTTATTCTTTCAAACACCAAAGTGAATGCTATACATGTTGCGCATTAAAATATATCATATTTGCTCTTTTCTTTTGAAAAGTAAATCTTAGGAACATTTTGGTCTTTTTTTTGATCAGGTTGTGCTGCATTATTAAGCATGTGTATTCTTATACTTTCAACTGCAAAATGAATGTGACATGTTTTTTCTCTTTTCTCTTGACAAGTAAATCTTAGGAACATGAGTTGAACTTGGGATCTCAAGTATCAAATGAGGAATTGATTTTTCTTTCCCGCTAAAAGTTATTCTGTCATTAAAAAAAAAAAATTAGACATGGGTTTGATTTTCTATCATAAGAATAGATAGCTAACATTTCTTCCAGAAAAGACTAACTCAGTGGAATTCATCTAGTCAAAGCTACTAAAATGATTATCAAGAACCTGTGACTTCTATTCAGCTTTGATTTTAATCTTATATCACTTGTTATACTCATTTTCATCTCATTGCTAACATCAGAACTTTTTTTGTTGTTCTCAATCTCTCTTGGAGTTTTAGAGCAAACAGTTAGAGATGCACATGTTACAAAATGCATCAAGGCAACTAGAGCATATGTGACATGTCACACTCTTATATAATAGTAAGTTAGAGAGTAGTTTTGTGCGCTTGTGAGAGTAGTTGCACCATCGTTATGTTTTGGTGACATTATTATAAAGGTTCCCCGTCTCATTTTTCTAGGCTCTGATCAAAAGGTTAGAGGCTTAAAACAGTAGTTTGATTGAGGCTTAAAATAATAGTTTGATTGATGACATTATTGAAGAGCATGAAAAATGGTGAAATGAAAGTCGCACGGCACAATTTATAGATGTAATTTTTGATCTATCTATTTCTTTTGGCAAAATCTTCCCTTTTTAAGACATTTTTCGCTTTCATTTTGGTACTTTTCTCTTTCTTTCTCCCATTTCTTTCCATTTCTTAAAAATCACCTTCAACTATGTTTCGCCATTTGTTTCAATTACCCCTTTATGTTTTGCCATTTTTTAATTGTATTCCCCATCATTTCATGGTATTGGCTTTGTTGAGTCTAAGATCTTCAATTTCAAAATTGTTAACTTTGCCACAATTGATTTTTTTTTTTGACTTTTTTTAGTACTGACATTATTATTATGTTGGGTCTAGATTTTTCGTAAAGAGGCATTTGATTTAAAATATAAGGTTTCTTCAGATTTTATAATATAAGAGCCACAAAGAATAGTTTTTTTCCCCCCTCTAAAATATGCTTCTCAATGTTGCTCAAATGGTTTTGTTTTTTCTTTCCACTGTGAAATCAACTTTCATTTGTTCCTTTCTTTTCAGAAATTTAATTTAATTTTGTTCTGTTTGATGTAAACTACTAGCTTTTTGCTATCATCTCCACATATAGATATCTCTTCGTAACTATTCTTGTTTGTGATTTAATGATCTTGTTGCCACTTGTTGATCAAAATTGGTTTGCTAACTTGTAATATTTATTGCACATTCTTATGGTTCGAGTAAATAAAGTCAGACTGTACTCCATGTGATTGTACTTAAAACTTTGTTTTTAATGACCCTGTTGCTACTTGTTGATCAAAATTGGTTCGCTAACTTATAATATTTATTGCACATTCTTATGGTTCGAGTAAAAAAAGTCAGACTGTACTCCACGTGATTCTACTTCAAACTTTGTTTTTAATGATCTTGTTTCTACTTGTTGATCAAAATTGGTTTGCTGACTTGTAATATTTATTGCACATTCTTATGTTTGGAGTAAATAAAATCAGATTGCACTCCACGTGGTTGTACTTCAAACTTTGTTTTCTAACTTAGAAATATTTATAGCACATCCTTATGCATATAGTAAGTAAAGTTAGATGGTACTCCACGCGGTAGAGCATAATTTGATGATTGTGATTGTTATTGCCTGGATAGCTTAGGAACTGGAATAGTTTTGTACTATGAACTTATTGAAAGTGATTTGATGAGAGTAAATACAACAATAATTGATGAGCTAGATTTTTAAGTTCAGCATATATATTCTATATATTTTACTAGTACACTTTGACCAATAAATTATGAATTGAATCTTCAGGTCTTTGGAAGAGAAATGGCTATGGCATCCCTTGAGATACTGAGGCTTGCAGATGCTCTTGGACGTAGGGCTTGAAGAGATCAAGTGAACCTTGTCTTGATGGCTTTTTTTGATCAGGTTGTTGCATTATGAAGCAGGTATTCTTATTCTTTCAAACATCAAAATGAATGCTATATATGTTGTGCATTAGAATATGTCATGTTTGCTCTTTTCATTTGACAAGTAAATCTTAGGAACATGAGTTGAAACTAACGATTTCAAGAATTGATTTTTCTTTACCCTCACCTTAAAAGTTATGTTTTAACAAAAATGGACATGTATTTAATTTTCCTTTATAAGAATGGATGGCTACTAAAATAAGTGTCCACGTAAAGTTTTAAATGAAAACCCTAGGTAAGGTTTGGTCAGTTTGGTTTTCTACCTAGGCAACCTTGGGTAACCCCAGGCAAGGTCTGGATTGCGAATGGCAACCTTGGGCATGGTCCAAGCCATAAACTTGCACTTTGGGTAATTTCATAAAGTTCTTTTTCCACCTAGGTGGCAAGCAACCTTGGGCAATGTTGGTTTATCTACCTTGCAACCTCTAGTAAAGTTTATGCAAGACTGTGACAATCTATTACAACCTTGGGTAAGGTTTAAGCAAGTTTATGGCACTTTTGTGCAACCTTGTGCAACGTATGAGCAAGTTCATGTCAAACTTAGAGAAGAAAAAAGTATGTGGTATAATGGAAGGTTCAAGGAAGTTTATGGCATGTTCATGAAACCTTAGGCAAGGTCTAGGGAACTTTAAGTAAGGTCTTACCAAGTTTTTTGCCTTTTTAGGTATCCTTAGACAAGGAGGTTCGGGCAAGTTTGAGGCTTGCTTAGGCAAGCTTTAGGGTAATGTTTAGGAACAATAATCGTACCTCATGTAGGGTCCAGGGAAAGTCCATGGATCTAGGGCAACTATGGGTAATATCCAGGCAAGTGCATTGCGTGCTAACCTTAGGCAACCTCAAGCAAGGTTTAGCTAAGTTCAACACGTGCTTAGGCAACCTCAGGCAAAGGTATGGGCTTTATGGCACACATAGCAAACCTCATTAAGGTATAGGCAAAATTGTGACATACTTGAGAAATCTTGGGCAAGGTTTGAGCTAGTTTATGGCATGCTGGGCTAACCTCAACAAAAGGTTGGGTAAGATTGTGACACAACTAGGCAATGTTCCCTAGGAAGCATATGCCATTTGGAGTAGTGTATCTGTATTTGATATGTGTTAGTTGTGAATATGATGTATTTTATTGGTTGATATACCCTTAAACCAAAAACTTGTCAAAGATGCATGCATGTCCACTTCTGATGTGTTCATGATACGACTTTGACATAGTTAGGATGTGTTGAATGTGGCTCAGACTATGATACACAACACATCATTTTGGACTAGTTTTTACATTAAAAGCCCTTAGGTTTTCAAAATACTCCCCATTCCATTTTGCGTTTGTACTGAAGCACTTTATCATCAATCTCATTCTCTACTCTCTAGTCCCCAACTCATCTTGTCTTCTTCGATTGCTTTGTCGTGGACTTGTGGTTGTTCCTTTGCCAACTTCTTGCTTAGGTACTTATCAGCTTCAAGTGCCCTTCTCTCTTCCTTTACTCGTCTTGGTTAGTATCGCACCGAGAAAATGCAATGCAGACGGTGAGCGAGTGGAGGTTCCGGCCTTCGGGGCGAGAACCGGATGAACAAGGAGTCGCCACCAAGATTTTGAGAGAAATCTTGAGAAATTGATTAAAGGAGGATAAAGATTGTCTGCGAAAATAGAAAATAGGTTCGAGAGTCGGTTGAGTGTGGCGAAGGTGTTAGGTACCTCACAACACTCGTTCGTCAGAACGGTTACCTAAAGTTTGTTGTGCTATATTAATATAGTTTTAAAATTATTTTAATTATTCCTTTTATATTCATGTGTTTGATATAAAAATGATAAGAATTAAGTGAGAAATATTTATTTATTTACGAGGGAGGACTTGACTCAGAATTCGATTCTAAGGCCTACGTACCTTATGATAGGGATCAAAGTCTACGTAGTTCATGCTTAAAATTTGTTGGTGAAAATATTTTTTTGAAGAGAAATTAATTAGAAATAATTCACCATTTTGTAAATAAAATAATTTCTGAAATTTTGATGTGTGTTTTAAATTGCAAAAAGTAATTTAATTTTAATTATTTTTTCAATTTTTGAATTTTTGAAGTAAAGAAAAGAAAAGAAAAGGGTTTAAAATTATTTTTTTATATATGATTGGGAATTTAATTCCTTTATCGTTATACCTGTAGAACTTTATTGGTTCATACAGTAATGCAATTATTCTAAATATCTGTGGAGATTTCAAAATCTCACACGATAAAAGAATTCAACAACTTAATTTATTTATTTATATTTATATATATATTTTTAGGTGTTAATAATATATTTTAAATGTGTATATATATATGTTTTAAAGACTCTCAATCGTCATACCTGTAAAGCTTTATTAGCTTATACGGTAATATGATTATCCTAAATATCTGCAAAGATTTCAAAATCTCACACGATAAAGAAATTAAATTTATTTAAATACATCTTTACTTTATATAACTTGTATAAATATTTTAAAAACTTAATCTTTATATCTGCAGAGTTTTATTGACTCATACGATAATACAATTATCTTAAAAGTCTATAAAGATTCAAAAATCTCACATGACTAAAAGATATAGTCGGTAAATGTGATTACAATTTAAATACATTAGTTTGGTTAATTATTTTTTTAAAAAATGTTTATTATTTTATTTACAAAAATTTGTTTATGTATTTACCATATAAATTATGAATCACGATATCTGTGAGGATTTATTATCCTACACGATAAGGTAATTAATTTAATTCTCTACGAAGATTTTTGAAATCTCACATTAGACTTAAATATTTATTATTAATTTAAATTATACAAAGAGTTAATTTTAATGATGGGCCTTTTGAAACCCATATTAACATATAAGTTTTATTTTCATATCTGTGAAACTTTATTGATTTACATGATACGAGATTATCCTAAATATTTGCAGAGATTCAAAGTCTTACATAATAAAAGGATAAATAATATTTACTTTAAATATATTTTAATGCGTAATTATATAAGGCATATTTTTAAATATAGAAATCTTAATCGTTGTACCTGTGAAACCTTATTGACTCACGTGGTAGTACAATTGTCTTAAAGGTCTATGGAGTTTAAAAAATCTCATATGACTAAGAAATCTAATTAGAAAATGTGATTACAATTTAAATTTTATTAATTATGCATTTTTGTAAATAAAATAAATTATTAGGTCCACGATCTTATAAGCTTCTTGGCCCGCCTTACCCAGCGTGGTATAATCTGAACGTTATTTGTGAACACCACATGAGTGCACCTGGACGCTCAATAGAAGACTGTGTGACATTTAAAAGAAATGTGCTAGACCTAGTTGATTCTAATCATATCTAGCTTAAAGAAGAGGGAAGCTTTACCATTACCACTAATCTATTTTTAAACCACGAAAAGCGAGTCAATGTTATTGAAGAAGAGGATATATTTTTCAGAAGCTCTGCAAGGATCAAGATGCCTATGAATGAGCTTTATGCTTACTTAAAGGAGTTTGGCTATATGCAAGAAATCCTCTTTACATATAATGTCGATAATCAAAAGCCTGGATATTGTGAATATCATCAGAAAATAATAGGCCATGATATAGAAAGTTGCGAATAGTTAGAAGAAACTGTTAGAAAAATGGTGGTGTTAGGGATTGTGTCCGTAAAGAAGGGAGATACCAAGGTGTGTATGGTAGAGAAAAGGTGTATCGAGCTTGTTGTTAAAAATCCAAACCCAAAATCCAAGGAGTCTCTTTTGTGATTGACAAAGCCTCTGTAGATCTTGCACCTGACGCAAGACAACCGATGCTGACCATAAGCACACCTCATCCCTTTCCCTATGAAAGTGATCGGGTGGTCCCATGGAGATATCAAAGCATTGTGGAGAACCACAAAAACTCAACATTGATTGTTGGAATAAGCAAACCCAGGAGGTGTTACTTGAAGTGAAAACCCATACTTACTATCTTACATTAGGAAGATGGTAAGAGAGAAAAATGCAAATGTTGATAGGCTGAAGGAAGAAATAGAAAAATTGGAAGATGAGTTTCTGTCGATTATGAAGCAAAGTGGTTACAGCATTGTGGATCAATTGAAGAAAACTCTAGCATGTATCTCAATACTTTCTTTGATTTTGAATTCCGAAATGTATCGCCAAGCATTGCAAGAAGTTTTGAATCAAGCTTTCGTGTAGCCTAATATAACCCCTGAGAAGGTGGCAAGTGTAATGAATGTGATAAAGCCTCCTCTACCATTTCCTTTTCGGAAGAGGAAGTTATAGAAATTGCTGTCCACTAAACTAAAGCTTTGCATATCACTTTGAAGTGTGAAGGGTTCATAATAGCAAGAGTATTAATTGACGAAGGATCAGCATTAAATGAATTGCCGCTCTCCACATTTGAATCATTGTCACTAGAAGCTTCAAGTGTACACAAAAGCAATATTGTGGTGAGAGCATTTGATAGATCAAGACGGGAAGTATTAAGATCTGTTTGTTTCTCTTTGAAGATAGGACCAAGCATGTTTAAGGTGGATTTTCAACTTATGAACATAGACCCAAGCTACACAATGCTGCTAGGAAGGCCATGGATTTATTCTGCTAGGATTGTTCTTGCTACCCTACACCAAAAGGTTAAGTTCATTAGGAATAAGGGAATTGTAGCAGTTAAAGGAGAGGAGGAAATCATGGTGAGCAAACCAAGCTCACTCCCTTATATTGAGGCTGCAGAGAAGGATCATGGAATTTCATTTCAAAGCTTGGAAGTTGAGGGTATTTGTGACAATACTTATAACATCAATTCCATAGTTGCTAAAATCATGATGAAGAGTGGGTTTATGCCAGGAAAAGGTTTAGGCCCTCATCTGCAAGGAATTACGTGTCCAATTAAGGTTTTAGATAATTGTAATTGCCAAGGGTTAGGGTATGAGTCTGCCTTAGGAGATCATGTTGAAGTCCTTAGAAAGCTATTCGCGAGATTGCGCGAATACTGAC